TACAGGTTAAGAGTAAAGAATGTTTCAAATATATACTTGAATATAATTTGCAGCAGTTGGTATATATAATTAAAGTGCGAATTCCTATCTTCTAGTGTATTTGTCATTAACGTGTCTATTATTCAAAAGATGTTCATTTGTAGGGGTTTCTTTAGTCATTCCTGAATAATTAATCAATCTCAGCTTAATTGAAGCAACGTCTCAGACGACTGTGAGCTGGGGAACATCATTTGTTACAGTATTAGGTGTAGATTATGACCAGAAAATATATCAAATATTTTTTACATTTATTAATTTGGAAATAAAGCTATCGTGAATTATTCAAACGTTACATACTTAGTTTTATTAAGGAGATGAAATTCACAGTTATATGTAATGAATAAGTGTATCTTTATACTCTTAGGGCACTAAAGGTCGAAGATTCTTTTTTGGAAATGCTGAAATAAGGGAAAGATGTGTTCATTTTTGTAAAGCTTCGGTGAGTATATTTATCCCCTGGATATATCCCCTAGAATAGAAACAAAAAATCTCGAAGGTAGAAAGGAAACCAATCACATTTGCATCCCTTTTACTTTGTAGTAAAATGAAAGCGTGCATACAAAAGCTCTTTAAAGGTTTAAATTCGCCTACGTATACTATTTTTATGTTCATAGTATTAGCAGTTTGTTTATATATTTTTTTCCAGTCAACATAAAATGATAATATTAAATTATTAGGGATTCCGTATTAAACAAAATCGGCGACTGCTAGTTTATGTTTTGTAATTTCATTTACGCAGTGTTTTGTTTATTTCTTAAAAAAAAGAAATATATACATATAAATACCAACTTAATCTTTTTTGATGTTATAAATGCGAAAGTTCAGATTGATGGATGAATGTTTGTTAGGTTTTGACTGAGAGACCGAACGGATCTTGATGAAATTTGGCATAGATGTACAGCATAGTCTGGAAGAACACTTAGTATGCTGACTTTTGTGTTTTATAATTCCACGAGGACGGAGTCGCCCGCGAAAGCTAAATTATATTTCAAAACAAGAAATCACTTAAAATAAAACAACAAACATATGTGTTTTCAAATTAAATAAATACGCACAAAGTGAGAAAATTACGTTTTCAGTATTAGCTAATCGAGAAATTGGTTCATAAAATTGCTTATACAATTTTCTTTTACAAGTCAAGTTATTCTCCAGGGAAATTAAGGACGTGTTCAAAAACATGCGTAAATTGCCTAAAAGAAAAAACACAGAATATGTAACACGTATGTAACCGTATTCTGATTACAGAACTTTTTGTAACAAGAAAGTGCGAGTTTCATATTTTATTTGTTTACTCGCTGTTGCCCACGACTTCGTCCATACAATATTAAGATAAAAAAGTAGTCTATAAAATGCCCGTCTACGTCAGCTACCATTCAGTAAAAGTCCGGTCGAAATCGGTTCAGTCGTTTCGGAGATTACTCGGAACAAACGCGACATATGGACGGACAGACAGACAAAAAAAACTTAATGCTCATATACTCGTACATCATCTTCATGAAATCTGGAATTTCTCTTTTAATATTACAAACAGACATTTCAATTTTATTACATGTATAGATTCCATCAATAAATAGCTCAGTGGTTGTGAAGCCAATTGATCTACTAGTCTAAGATTCAATTTCCAATTAAACCGTTGATTCGCAAATTTTTGAAAAGTGTAGGTGTATGAAGATGTTAGGGATAGATTTAATAGAAATCCGCGAAAACATGAGTTATTCGAACCCATATATCATACTAACAATATTTTCAAGTTGTGAATAACTTACAGGTTCAATCCCCGTTTATGAAGCAACTGGAAAAGCGCGCAGATAAAATGCACATGCTATAAAAAATTCACATAAAGGAAAAAAATATTTTCAGCACACAAATGTAAAATATTAAAAAGCGTTGCAGATATTCAAATGTTTATTAAAAAAACCGGATGCCATTTCTTTTTCTATGTGTTCTTTTTTTTTCAAAAAATATTTCGTGATGAACATGTGTCGGTGGGTACGAGATAAAACCTTGTGAGTTATGCCGTAAGTAAAAAATGTTTTGTGAAATATTTTTCGGTTTCGTCTGCAGTGAAGTTCCACAAATGAAAGTATTTAGATATAACGAAACATTTATGTGTAAACGTTTCACATATTTCATAAGAACTGATTTTAATTTTTCCTTGCCATGATAGATGTTAGGTGGATACAATTTCGACAAAAGAAATAATTAAATTGGCAAATTTTGTTTATTACTTTAATTGCTAATTTTATAGGTAAGGCGTTTTATTATAAAGATTTTGCTACTTCTGGAAATCAGTACGAATTTATACCACTGCTTGTGATTTGACAGATAATGTTCGGGATGCCTCGTAAAACGGTTCTACTAAGGATAACAAATTGCCATTTGATCGAGATTTGTTTACGCTTTTATCGTTACGTATTTTACGATAATAATAAAATGAAATCATTGTCTTATTGTAATCAATTTTATTGAATGAAATAAAATTAAATTTAAGGTATTTATTTTAAACTAAAAACTGTTTACATTTTACTTAATAAGGTCAATACTCTATTTAAAAATACTTCAACATTTTTAATAATTATTATTTATTTAATAATATAATATTTTACTAGCACAAATGTTTAGTTTAGTTAATAGATGTAATCAAGATGATGCTTGAAATCTTTGAAAGTTTTACTCGACAGTTAAGTTTATTCGAACAACATGACAATGTTGTTAACTTGGGTATAACTTATAAATTCAATTACATATAACAATCACAAAGTTATGCAGTTCCCAAAGTAGTGGCAGCAAATCAAACTAGAACAAAGTTTTCAAACTATCAACCAAGAAGTGTTCTCCTAGCATTTAAATTAAAACCCAATAAAACCGAAAAAAAAAAACATCGTGCACAACTTTGACTAAACTAACGCACAACTGTTTAGTCGCGCTTTGATTCTTATGAGCGTATTGGAGGTAAACACTACTAGATTTTAAGTTGTGAAACTAAACAGTTGAGTTGGCTCCGAAACAATCGCACAATAGTGCGATAGTTTAGTCAAAAGTGTATGCCCGCTTTAAACAACCTTTATTTAATAATTGATTTTAAAACATAACTACTGTAATATCTCTTGTTTTATATTCTTACCTCAGTGATAATATCGTAAAGTAAAACATTAAAGAGAAAAGCACATATAAAATGATGGATGTTTAACTCCATTGTGACCTCGGTTTTATATTTACGTCGGGGATTACCTGTCGCAGTTCACAAAACAAACTAGCTAAATCTATGTTTATACAGTAAAAACTTACCTCCTTTTTATGACATAGCAGTTTGAAAACTAATACATGGCTTAGCTTAATGATTAACTACATATTTTATGCTTTTTCTAATGTCTAAAGCATGCGCACACCTACAAATAAACTATCGCAACCGTTTAGGAGGTGCGCACTACTCGATTTTTAGCTGTGCAACCAAACAATTGAATTGGCTGCGAAATAATCGACAATCGCACATCAGCTGTGCGATAGTTTAGTCGAAGGTGTGCTCCCTCTCTTATAGGAGCATTTGACAGCATTGTTGTTTACACAGATTCGATAACCTATTCCAGAAATAAATATATCTTTGTTGAAGACTCACAATGCTCAATATTTCCAAGAATACAACAAACGTTGTAGATGCCTAATAAGTCTCGGGATATTTCTTTTTTTGCTTGTAAACAGGTATTGTGATAACGTCTGTTGACATTTACGCAGAAACTACAAATAATAAAATTATTTATTATATGTAAATGCCGCGTAGACGATGCGAACTGATATTAAGTGCTTATAAAATTCTTCATAATCTTAATAATAAGTATACACTCGTAAATAATTGGATGATTATTCTAAACTAAAACGAATACTAAGACTGTGTTTCTACGTCACCACACCCTAAAAAGTTTTTATGAAGGGCTTAATTTAACCTCAAGGCTCTGCCCGCCATTAATTAGGTCGAAAGCTATCTGCTTTAGCGGTTTTTGCGGCTACGATTGACATATGTTCGTCCCAAGGGACTGTGACTTTTACATTGTTAGGTATTTAGATTTTAATCTAATTTAATTCTGTATTTTCTGGTTGATTAGTTTACAAAAACAATTTATGAGAGAATGCAATTTAGGTAGAAAATAAATTAAAAAATAAATCCTAGAAAGAAAAAAAGAATATAGAATCCTATAGGAGAATATTGTTTGCTATTAATTTAAGTATTGTATGCTTATAACTTATAAAACTTAATATTATTCACATAACTAATACAGTAAATATGTAGTTTCTGTATACAATACCTTTCTTTATAAAAACGTACAGTATTCAAAAAATATCTCAAAGTAAAATTTCAAAGTGAAAAGATACACACAGTCGCTCAGACGTTTCAACTCAAGTGTTTCAGCGTACCTACTTACATAATAAATTCCGGCATTGTTTGGGCGGTCATGTTTTATTTATACGCTAAATGGAAATGAAGCAACAGCGAGAGTAAAGTTGTTAAGCGACACGGCTGAGGGATCGCCGACCGTCCTAAAAATACGATAAGGAACCTATCGGGCAGCCGGTTATTGGCCCAAAAAACATACGCCCAACCTTTCATGAATACTTAAAACATACGCGGTACTCAAAAGAACCTACATACGCGAATAAACATGTATCGATTTTATAAATAAAATACATTAAAATCGTTAATTTAATCAACAAACATAAATTAAAATGCATTTTTATTTTTGTAGTGAAAAATCTACACAATTTAAGCGATGGAATTAAACATAAAATCTGACATTTCGGAACGCATTACGCGCAATAAATGAAGATAAAATGGCATAGTGCATAACCATAACAATCATTACAGGTAAGAAGAAAAACTTGGAATAGTTCGCGAGAGACCTACTGAGTGGTGTGTGTTGGGCTCTGTTTGACGCATGCGCAGTAGTTTTGTAGGGAGAACTCTCAGAGTGTCGACAGACGTCACGGGGCCAACGCGGGCTCCACAGACGTCCGCGATACGTCCCGTAACATAAACGTTATGGTAACGACGTGCCTACTTACGTAAGTCAATATAGTGAAAATACTATTAAAAATAAAAACACAAAATTGAAAAAAAAGATAAATGGATGATTTTTTTATATGTTTTTTTTTTGCTCTTCAAGCATTGATAAGACAAGGTGAGCAATTATAAGTGGGTGTTAGGTATCATAATGTTTGACGGTTTTGTGCGTTGCTGAATGTTGTTCAAGATCTTCGTGAATTTATAAGGTGAGTATTTTTTTTTTAATCCTTGGTTTTAAGGACATAAAATAATGTTTATCGTCGTGTTTATGTTCGTGGTATGTTTACGTTAAATCAAAGCAAATTAAATGAAGTGAATATATTGGGAAACAAACCTTAAGATGTCAATTTGAAAATTAAATTTATGTTTTCATCACAATAAATGTAATTTTTATCACCTTTCCAAAATAAAATAAAAGAACTTAATTTTTTCTAGTTGAAATATTATATTTGGAATTTCATGAACATTTTTACTACTTTTTTTTACATTAGGGGATATAAAAAATAGTAAAGCAATACTACGTTACGTGTGCACGTTTTTTTGCAATGCAGTGTAATGCATAATTTAAATCAAGTGGGCGAAAAACTTTTGATCAAAGTGCTACCGTTACTCTTGCAATAAAGTACTTAAATTTTTGTATGCAGGCAAGAGTGCCAAAAGTTTTGCGCACTGCGTCGCTTCCTTAAACCACAATGTATGGTGCTAACCTGCCAATACCAATTCGACATATTATTTTATCTTATAGCATTTAAAAATATTCAGCAAAATTTAAATTTATTAAATTGTTTTTTATAAAACAATTGAGCACACTTTTTTTTAATTTAACAAATTAAATCAGTCCCAATTTATCTCGAAGACTTCATTAAATAGAAGCTCGATTTATGGACTAAGGTCGTCGCTTAATATCAGGTGAACCGTGTGCTCGTTTGCCACGTTATTTTACACAAGAAAAAACAGTTTATTATTTTATTACATTCACAAACAGGCGGTGGACGGTTTTAAATTTTTAAACATAAAATAACTATTTAATTAACAACCTATATTCATGAAGTATACGGTCCCCCATAGAGATGCTTGAGCCTAAAATAAATAAGCTGTTTGCTTATATTACTATTATAATCAATGCTATTAATGGAAAATGTAAGATAGGAATGGTTAAAGAATTTATCAAAACGATCCAGTAGGTTCTGATTTGATTAAAAATATTTTCTCTTAATGCAGACAATAAAGTTGAAAAGAATACATTTAATTAAAGTCAAACTAAAAAGTAAGTATACATTGTATAATTTACATTAATACGAATGTGATGACGTCGGTTTTCCGTTCTGCTCGTGAGAGAGACCGGGGTAAAGCGGCCTTGAACTGCTGTAGTGCGCTTCAGTGTTTGTGTAGCTCGTGGTATTACCGAAAATGTATTCTCACTGTCCAAACTTTTACAGAAATTACATTACACTCTATGCAGTGGACGGCCATGAATTGATAAACTCTTATATCAATATAAACATATCACTAATCGAATAAAAAAATATGTAAACTCAAACGCCTAAACACTAAATAAAATTCTGATAGAAATAATTTTGTACAACGCAGAAACATGACAAGAAACAAATAACGCTCATTTTATTTATTCTATTCACTACTCGCCCAGAAATAAATTTATTGCGACCCGATAAATTGGTGCCTTTAGGCAGGCATCCTCAAGTGTACCCACCTCTGCTCTTTGTGAGAGGGCCATTAATCAAACCAAAGAACCCGCAGCCCACATTGACAAAAGTATCGTTATACATAAATAAATTACACGCACTCGGGTATCACTTTCCGCAAATTTGGGTGGATTCGCTTCAAGAAATGTACGAAAAAATTACTATTAAATTTTATCTTTGCGGACACAAAGAGATTTATTTGTATCTTCGTTCACATTTTAATTATTTAGATTCTTTTATTGTACAGCGTATTTTGTTTGTTTTATTTAGAGGGAAGAAAATAATATACTTTAATTTGAGTTGGGGAAAAAATATATATATATATATATATATTTGTAATTTATTGAACCATTAACAATTAAGCAAAAGTCTCAAAGCTTTTTAAAAGTACGAAAAATTTTAATGAAACTTTTTCTTCTAGATTATGAATAAAAATTTTGAATTCCGACTTTTTTCTTCAAAATACTGGCGTCAAAATTACGATATGAAAAAGAATTTCTAAACACTATATTCAAAATTTGAAGTTGCTGTAATGCATTAACACAAAAAATTTTAAGTATTTTTTATAAAATAAATTTAATTTAATTTATTTAAAAATCATATAAGAACAAACTAGATATAAAAATGGATTGCTGCTTCGTAAATGAATGCGAACGATTTGCCGTGACTCCGGTTCTTATGAGTCCCCAAGTTAAATGCTGCGAAAGTGCACCATTATACGTACCGTGCTGCAATGATAAACTCGTATATTGTTGCGAGAAGATACGACCTTGCACGCCGGTGGCGAGGAAAGTATGCTACGATAGTAACTGTGACCACACGTGTACTCTATGCTGTGAGCCGCCGCAGAAGTTTTGTCCGACCTGTCGTCAGCCGACCGGCCCGCCTGCGAAGCCAGCAGTCAAATACGTCATGCCTTGCTACCGATATGAAGATGGACGAATTGTAAGTGAAATGTTTATACCCAGTTAAATAGCAAAAATTACACTATACACGCAAAGGTAGCCAAAGCCCCTCTATACGTAAGGATTATTAAGCTCAATGTGCTTGGTATGTCAATCTTCTTTAAATGTAGTTTCTAAAATGGCCATGGATGACTTCCCTCTTACGTGCATATTAAAGTTGTATGTATTGTATGAGGACAATTTTTTTAAGAAATTTTTCATTGATCCTCTAACCAATGGTTTATTTTTAAGTTTCCCGTTGGTTTCAGGAACAATTTGATTCCAAAATCCACGGTAAACTCCCAGCTTCTGCTTATAAAAGGAATGGGATACAAGATCAAATTAATGGATATAGAGGGGCACGACGTGATCTGTGCGCAGTAGAACACGAAGGCAAATATTATGTTTACGCCGCAATAGAGCCTTTTAGGAAATTCTATTCAAGAATTTCTGATGAAAAACACCCCGTGAAACTGTCGCCGAAAAAGATTTTCGATAAATAGTTTAAGAGAAAATAAAAATATAACTAACATGAGTTAAAGTTGAAGTACGAATCGGACTAAGGGTTAGCATTATAGCACATTACAACCAGAATCTAAGACGACAGTCGTCTTTCGTTATATTTTGATGTTAACAAAAAAAATCCTACCTTGTACCCTGCCATATCTTATTCCCATGACACGATTTTCTTAAAGTATAAAAGATACCTGATTTAAATAGTACAATAAACTTGGCAGGTAAATGTTATGCCATCGTCAGCGCTAAAACGGAATGGCATTCAAGACCACAAGTATACCGAAAGCGGTGGAGTTGATTATTTATGCCAAATGCCGAACACCTCCTTGTGGTCGGATAAACCATTTTATATGCCCATCAAGCCATTGAAGAGAATCGCTAATACAGTGACTTTGAAAGGATTAAAATGACAGAAACCGAGTACATCGATGTTGTCGTTTTGATCGTTTAGCAATGAACTTTGAACGCGCTTGAAATGAGTAATGATTCAATCGATAGCATGAATGTTACAATTGCGGTATGATTACAGGTACAAAACCTGCCTGTGTCCGCATTCAAGCGTAACGGATTGCAAGATCAAGAACATTCCAAATTGTTGGGAACCGCAAACTTCTTAGTCCGATGTCGGAACGATATTGCGATAGATTGTGACGCGTAAAATGTTATGATATTGTTAACTGTTGTCCTGTTCCATGAAGCCTAATTGTTTTGTGATTGCCGTATTTAATAAGAAAAATAAAGTATTGTTTTATAAATAACTAGCTACTTTTTATTTTTCTTTTAGATAAATCAACCAACTTGTTTAACAAAACACGCTTGTAAAGTGGCCTGCAGTTATCCGACACCGAGACTGCCATCAATACCAGTGCAATGTATCCCCTGTGAGCCGAGAAAGGTAGTTTTTTTACTATTGGTTTAATACAGTATAGCCATTTCTTCCATTAAAGGATCCGGTGAGTTGTAAAACTTTAATGGGCAATCGAAATTTGTCATAAAGTTCATGGAAAATCCTTTTTAGCATACGAACCAATACGTTATAAGTGGAGTTTTCTTTCTTTTTCACGTATTGTTCTTTATTTTCTGACATTAATACAAAAAATGTTGTAAAAGTAAAAATGTTGAATACCCCATGGTTCCCGCATGTTTCTTTCATAAACTCATTTACATCGAACGAGGCAAAAGGTATTTTCGTTTATTAAATTTTAATATTCAACTCGAAGTATGGATGAGCGCCACCTGAATTGATTCCCACGCAATATCCTTTCAGAAGCCAAAGCAAAAAGCTGAATAAACGTCGTTGACGCCGAGTAGAAATTCAATTTCATTACAAACCAGGCTTCGAACTGGAAAAATGGCTCCAGTGAAACCTGTTTGATTAATTGAAATCCATTTATATTGAAAAAATTAAATACTGATATCATAAAGCAATGAACAAATTACTATAATTATTTATTAAACAAAATAAACAATGTCTAAATCTAAATAAAGTTATGCCTTATGTGGTAATAAATGGGGTCTGTAATATTTTTTTTTATTTCATAGCCGACTTTCGTCCAAAGATGTAAGGTACCGGAGAATTGTTGCACGGCGTGCTTGGGACTTGAAGAATGAAATGTAGCTGAATACAGTGAAATCGACCGTACAAAACTGTGATGTTCATTTTGTGACTGTGCCGTAATAAAGTTTTTTTTTTTAATAATCTTGTTTTTATTATAAGATAAAATATTAGATTTCGTTAAATGAAAAAAAATGCAGAATTTTAGCACGAGTTTTAATGATGAAACAAGTAATATAATAGTAATTCAGCAAATTGATCATATAAAACATCAGTCATATGTTTGTGTAATTAATGTAATAATAAAAAATTCATATAAAAATGGCCGATAGAAGGAACGGGTAGTGTGATAATGATGATGATGATGTGATGCTGTATTCAAAGTAAAAAAAACAAATAAAATTAATAGTTTTTCTTCTATTAGTAATCGTATTTTAAGTGCACCTATTTTTTTAATGTACTGACAATGACATTTGTTTCTGGATTTTGGAGAAAATTGATTGAATTTGTTACGTTGTTTTTGCTAATTACAATTTCAAAAATAACATGCACATTATAACAAAAAATATGTGGACACACTCAGGTATGTTTATATAATTCATATGTTTTAAAACCTCTGGTAATAAATAGCTTAAAGTTCCTTTATGTTACCTCTAAGGTTAAAAGTGTTTAATTTGTTACAGATTTATGCGGCGAGCTAAAACAAAGTCAAACAGCTGCGCTGGTGGATTAAAAAACTATAAAGCTTCAGCTTACGCTAACATATACAAACAAACCTAGTTATCCGCATAACGATGTGGAGAAGAAAATATTTTGACTTGCGGATCGGGTTTTACTTAACTTAGGGTACAGCGGGGGTGGGTGAGGGGTATGCGCAGGCGAAGCGGGCGGCGGGGGGCCAGGCGCGGGGACTCGCACCATGCACCACGCCATAGTGCTGCTGCTCGCTGCCCTCTGCACTGCTGTCTCCTCGCAGATAGCCTGGACGCCAATCTTTCTTGATGCAAGTAGTAAGTACCTTTACAAGTAGCAAGTAACAAGAAGATTTACAGAACACTATGGTGTGGAATAGCATATTATCGAGATCATGTAAGTGAGCAAACAACTCAACAGCTTGCCCTATTATCAACATAAGGGTCTACTTCTACCTTTCTTAACTGAAGTTTTAATGTTAATCTGCTTATATTACGATGTTCTTTACTCCTCGTCAGACATACATTTCATCGAATGAATTGTACTGCTTCGTATTTATGTGATAATGAAACATATATTAATTGGTGCAGGTCAAGTGGATCTGTGGACGCAATCATCGTCGGGTTGCGCATGCCCGGGCGGCGGGGCCGGGGCCGAGGAGTGCGCGTGCTGCGTGCGGGACGGCGCCTGCCCGTGTGGCGACGACGCGCCCGGCCGCTGCGCACAGTGCGGACTCGAACAATACTGCTCCAATAGTTAATAACATTTATTATTAACGTCACTAATGAATTTCATATAAAAAAAAAAGACTGAGTTGTAATCTAACTAGCAACAATGGGTTTTTAGTAAAACATTTTTCTAATTGTGCAGTGTGCAATATTACGATCGATTCGCGCGTCCTCAAGAGCAAGTCGGGCAAGACGTTCGGGCAGATCAAGTCGCCGTCTTTCGAGGGCCCGGGCGCTTGCTCTTACTTTCTACAGCCAGATGCGGGACAAAGAGTTGAGATACAATTATATAGGCTCGTCTCTGTCGGACAGTTTAACGGATCTAGGTACTTAAAATTTGAGTTGTACTTTTTTCTTTTCCTAATGCATCCAAAGGTTAAATTGTTTATTGTATTGTCATAGTTGTGTTGGTGGCTGGTTGCAACTAAGTGGTGCAGTTCGCAATGTAGACAGCGTGGCTGAAACGCGTCTGTGTGGAGAAAATGAACGATACACACCACCCGTCGTATTATTTGCTGATCATGGTGCTTCGACCCTGGATTTTAGGTGATATTTTGTGTATTTAAACTTTTTAAATATGAAAATCAGAGCAAGAAAAAATGTCATGCAGTTTTATTTTCACAGGATAACAGAAAAAACAGTGAGATCACAATTTTTGGCTTTCTTCAGTTTCACATCGTTAAGTAATACACAAGGTGTTGGATTTCATCCTCGAGGAGGTTCCAGGATACCACATACTGGTAAAAAATAATACATGGAGTTTTAGTCACATTTTAAATAATTAACACCAAGACTAACAATAACATTCGTTTACCAGATTGTGACTGGTTATACCAGGACATATCGTGCCGCGGCGCTGGCGCTTGCGTGGTGGCCAGTCCTGGCTACCCCGGCCTATATCCGCCGCATCGCCGCTGTCGGTATCTCTTCGCCACTAACTCTGTACACACTAGAGTCAGAATTATTTTCTCATCAATACTATTGCCTCAAGAGTAAGTAAATCTTGTAATATGTATTATATAAGTAAACATTACTTCAGGTCTATGGGCTAGAATGAATACAGTAAAAAAAATTAATTGATACCAACATTTTTAAGACATAAAATGCATAACGTAAGCAGCTTGAAATATTTTCCGACCATTAACACACAACAAAACACTAGATATTGAATACTGCATATGAAAGATTGCGTGAAACGTGTCATGGAATAAAGAGTTTAAAAAACAGTATTTTATGAAAGAACCTTTGATTGTCGACGGTTTGAGTTTTTGGAAGCCGAACAATTGGTTGAGTAAATAAAAGAGCCCGCCTATCTCGTTTCCACTTTTGTGAATTCATTCCATCGCACGTTATTGAAAAATTTACCGTGTACTAGTTCTTTCAGTTACGTGAAATACATTTTCAAAATGCAAATTCTTGTGGGGTAATTTTGGGCAGTCTTAACCGGAATTTGTTCTTTTAAATGCTCAGTTGACCCGATTTCAAGATTACGAGGTGTAAAAGGAATTTTAATATAAAAGATCCATACACATATTAATTTCGGTTGATATATCTGTCTCTACTAATATAATAAAACGTAAAGACACACTACTTCTTGGCGTGGGCATCACAGGATATTTTAAAATAATTATTTCTTTGTTAAAAGCCTTACACTTAGGCTATATGTTTTCACGCTATTTTTTTTAATTAAACTAAGGGGATAAAAAAATTGGAAAAATAAACTATCATCTGGGAAAGGGTCCATATACTGCAAGCTGCCATTATTAAGGAAGCAAGGTCATTACGGTAACGTTAATTTTGACATTTGAAATTGATAATTTGACAATAAAATAAAGATTTTTATAATTTCATACGGACGAAGCCGCAAGGGAACAGCTAGTATGTAGATATTGTATTTCGATCGATTTCTAGCAATAAACTTTACTTACAAATTTACAAACAGTTAACCTCAAACAAATGTTGTTCATTTGAAAAGTTTTGAACAAATATACCCTATGTTTAGTATAAATGACACACATCGACATAAGCGATAACAATTGTGGGTTATTCGTCAACTTTGTCGAACTACGCCGCCCCTAACATTCATAACACAGTCACGTTTCTGAGTCATAAGCTACACAAAATTGGGACTCTATTGTAATTCCAAACTGAAAACTATGTTATTTGACGCTATAATTTAATGAAATGGTAACACTAACACGTTTTTATATTCATTTTTGTTTAAATATCATAGAAAGTGTTCTTTACGTCACGCCTTCTGACAAAAGGGTTTTTGTTTTCATAAGTCTTCTGTTCGAAAATCTTACTTTTTTGTTAAGCATTTGTATACTTTTCAGCCATTGTGCCTCGGACTATTTAACACTACGGGCCGGTAGCTCCCCGTCGGCACCCTTGCTGGCTTCTATTTGTTCTGAAAAAAGTGCGACGCTGGAATATCCCGGCCCAAACTTGCTATTGGAATTTAAGTAAATGTACTTTTAAAATGGCATATTATGAAACTTAATAAGTATTTGAGGCGTATCAAATAATAATTCATGTTATTTAGCTCCGGGCCGTTGATCCCGCCGTATAATTACAACGGATTTATAGCGAAATTGGAATTCATAGAGCGACAGGAAAGCAGCGAAGCTCCCCCTACTGTGGTTGCTGCGTCACCGCCCCTTGCGGCCCTCACGCACCTTACACACCACGGTATGTTAAAAATACGTGTCACTACATAATTGTTATGCTTTAGTAACAACACTATGAAGTATGCATTTTTTTTTAAATACTATGTATTTCAATGCAGTTCCATAGATTTAGAAGAAACCAATAACCGTATTTTTTTTTAATTTCTATGTTTATTTATTTGCGGATTGTATTACAATAATTACCTAACGTTGTTGTTGATTGCATTAAATTAGGTTGGGATGAAATTTCGTCACGCAGACCTAAAATAATAAGTAATTCTGAAGTTTTCAATACTGCTACAAGAGTCTACGAAGATATTCTACGACGGTGCTACGATCTTTTCTTTTTTCTAGCTGACAGATCATCTGCAGATAATACGGTTATCACGAATGAGATATCCCATACAAAGAACGGTCGTGTTGGTTGTGGAGCAAGTGTACGAGGCTTCGGTCCGGGGGGCGTACGCTCCGGACATTTCGATACCCGGGCTACGCCCTGGCGGACACAATGTACAATACACTTGTTCGGATCGCCCACAGATGTCGTACAAGTGTCACTTTTTAATTATAATTTAAGGTAAGGGCTTTTTAAATAGGAAGGATGATCTTATTTCTTTCATAGCAAAGTTGCTACGAAACATGTTTTCTACGTAAGGATATAAGTTATAAAAAATGGCAATAAAGTAATGTAAAAATATTAAATTAAACTTCTGTTCCAAAAAAATCAATAATAGACGTATTTTTAAAAATTTTCACTCGTGCCAAAATACTGCTATTTTTGTAAACATCTGGCGAATCTAGGCTGCAAAATGTTTAACTTTAAACTACAAAGTGGAAACAAAGTTGATTTAAATTAGAGTCTGATTATGACAGTTCTCACTTGCTTTTTTTAAATCATTAAAAACTTGGAGTATTTTAAAATTATTGAGAGAATAAACATTGTTTGAATGTTGGTCTTTTGTTTTAATAGATATTAAAAAACAATTAAGTACACTTAATAACAGTTTGCCCGTCTTGTTATGTTTTAATTATCGACAAAAAGAATAGTCAGTGAACTGGGTAGTAATTACTCTTTTGTTACGGTGATAGTCATTGAGTGTCTATCCATGACACTAATTGAGTGCCTTTCCCATCTTGTACAATTGGTTGCACAATTAATAACTAGAATTTTATTTTAATTCTACACTCCTTTGTAGGCTACAAAGCTGTCGATCTCATATAGAGATTTTGGAAGGATATTACGAATTTATTGGTAGAGGGGAAAAAGTGAGTAGATCTGAGAGAGGTGATAGGGCACTTCTCAGGGTATGTGGCCCTTTTATTAGAGAAGCTAGAGATCCTTCGGGCAGATTCCTTATTCGGCAAGCTGTGACATCGAAGGGCGCTAATATTACTATACTAATTCGACGTGCCTCTACACAAAGTGTTGATGAAGAAGAGTTCGTTGATGGAGCCTTTGCATTTCATGATGGTTAGTTTATATGTTTTTGTTTACTATCAATTAAAAGCAACATTTTCGCCAAATTATCAAATCAAATATTCGTTTATTTTTTTCTAAACCATGACGAATTTGAAGATACTCTTGACCCTGTAGCTACGTTTTATCATTATTTCTTTAGAATAATGCAAATACAGCATTTGTCTTAAGTTGATACAGCATCGCGCTTTAATATTACCAATTAATTCTGACTACACAAATACATTTACTTACTGAATTCGCTACAATTTAATTTCGCTTACTATCAGAACAGCACGAAGGGACGATGTCGCCGGACGCTACGTGCGCGACCACGCACTATGGGCTGTCGGCGCTACGACACGGTGGAGTCTCCGCGCCCTCGCATCATCACATATACTGGAATATAGAGGAGAGGTTGCTCTGCACGCATCTATTCATGCCGGCTATAAACCAGAGTGTCACAATTGAGGTACGTGTACATTGTAAATTAAAACGACTTACGAAAATTTTAAGTCCTGGCTTTTCTTCAACTAATTAGTGAAATAACAAAATATAAATAATAATTAAGTGATACACAAGAATACGCCATTTAGTCTTATTTATTAAACATTCGATCGATCGATTTTCGAATAGTCCAAATAGTATAACATGAAACAAAAATTGTTTTAGCCTTCTAGTCAGTACAACTATTGTACAAAAGTAAAGTATGCCACACATATAACAGATTCAACGGCTGGACCGTATGTGGAGTGCGGAGCCACCTGGCACTGCACCAGTTGGGTCAATGGGGTGTCGTACTGCGTGCGGTGACGCTGGCTGCGAGTGCCGCGCCGGCACTCCGCTTCACTACCACGATCACATCGCGCTCGTCGCCAGCGATGGCACACATCTGTCATGCCTCTGTGGGGACTTTCAGGTAATATTGTAATAACAAAGGAAATAAGCAATGGAATAAATTTGAAGTCTTAGGGCCTGTCCCACCAAGTTGTAAATTGTCCGATAGCAATCCAACGTGTATAATATGTGATGGAAATATCGTATTTTGTTCCCTTATCTGACAGTGACGTCATTTTTAAGCTCTCTCTCAGCCAGTGGTGGGACAGGGCCTAAAGATAGGATAATTGTTATAACCAGCACACTATTCATTCGTTTTTCAATGGTTTTTAAGGGCTTATTATTTAAATAAAGAAATCTAGCCAAGTCATTTAAACTATAATAATAAAATGTATTATTGTGTTAAAGAAAATAATATTGTTTCGATTAAGTTACCAGAATTATTAGACATTGCAGCTGGGACGGAGTATTTCGATTTCAATTATTAGTGGTCGGACTGTAGGGTGGCGTAGTCGGGGCGACAGGTCACAGTTACGTCGGTGAAAATTCAATTACTTAACAGTAATCTACCGTGTGCGTATTGCGTAAAGCGCCGGGGACAAATTTTATTTGCCCGCCTCACATTGGTATGCCGGACGGTATCAAAGGGTTGTGTGGACACGTTTTTCTGTATTGATTCGAACCGCAGTAAAATTCTTGCTGAAACTTTAAATGATTCCCTTGGTGCTGGCTGTAAATGTTGTCAAGTTAATTTATGTACCGATTAAGGTCAACCGTTGGGGTTAATACGAATTGTTTTAGTGGTTTCCCTTATTGTTGGATGAGACTACTGAATTATACTGAGTTATAAATAAGATATCTTAATGGTTATCATACTATTTATACTTCATACTAATGTTATAAATGTGAAAGTTTAGATGGATGGATGGATGTTTGTTAGTCTTTGTAGCCTAAACGGCTGAACAGATTTTGATGAAATTTGGCATAGACGTAGAGGATAGTGTGGAAGAACACATAGACTTCTCATTTATAATTTATTTAATTCCATGCGGACGGAGTCGCGGGCGAAAACTAGTATCTTTATAATCTGTAATTATAGATTTATTAAAAACAAACATGTTTGTATCATCAATTTAATCATTTAACCTTCTTAAGATAAATCTATAGCCAAAAAATGACAATGTAATTGATTGATTATTATTGATTTAATGTAGGCATTGGAAGTTTTGTTGTAGAAGATCAATCAAACCGTTTATGTGTTCCTGTTTTAGATAAAAAAATGATTATAATACCTAACTACTTACTTACATCTCATGAATGAATCTTTTATTTCGAGTTTTATACATGTCGTAAATCCAACTTAATAATAAATATTTCTATGATGGTTTGTTAAGCGTCACGAAGTATTTCAGTCTATTCAACCTTCGATCGATATGAAAAGAGAACCCGTCAGGTGTTCCGACTGGGTCAGGGTCGTCCTAAATATTTAATGTTAAGACCACTTTTGTTAACAGGCTGCGTGGTTACCGGTTGTGGTTCGCAGTTGGAGTGGCCTGAGACTTGAATATTCAGTCGCTCACTATACGTACGCGAGTCGGGGATTCGATTACGCAGCCGCGTATAGTTTCAATGATGACGCGATGTGTGGACAACGTACTTATACAACTCACTCGGGTAAGTATTTTTAAGCAATTAATATAATTGTAACTAGCGTAATTAACTTAAACCATCATAGCTCAGTAGCTGCTGCTAGTGCGCCATTTACGCGGATCAGTATCCGCGAGAATGGCGCACTATTCCGATACGTCTGAATGACACTGACAGCTGTCAGATAGGGACGGGACGTATATGCCGATAATCTGGTGTTGCGCCAATCATCCAGCGCAGTACTGATTCACTTCTTAAAAGTTACAGTTAACCATTTTACCACCCTGATGACAGTGAGATATCATACGTAATTTTTAATTTAATGCAATGCATTTTTATTATTGCACTAATTTCTATGATAAAAGATAGTAGGAACTTGAATTAAGTGGAATAGATTAGGGATATTATGGAAGGGTCTCTCTAATGATCCTAAGGGTGTTATTGGGGAGAACAGTAGTCCTATATATACGAATATGTGGTAAGCGATGTACGTAATCAACTCAGTATGCTCATTATTTTATTGGGGTACAGAAATATTAATTTTCTCATAAATCGCTGCTTATTTCTCTTATTGTGTTCGTGAGTAATATAATCTATCAAATAACAAAAGTATCTATGTCGACCATACGGTGTTATAGGTTAAATTACGTATTATCTTACTTCTTACTAATATTATAAATGTGAAAGTTTAGATGGATGGATGTTTGTTTAAGTTTGTAGGCTAAACGGCTGAAGGGATCTCGATGAAATTTGGCATAGATGTAAAGGATAGTTTGGAATAACACATAGGCTACTTGCGTTTGTGTTTTTTATTCCGTGCGGGCGGAGTCGCGGGCGAAAGCTAGTAATTAAATAAAAAGCATTTTTCTCCCTATCCTAATGAAAGATTTTTCAAAGTTTATTTTAGAAATCAACACCATTTATATTTTACACAACATTTTGTTCATAATAATTATAACGAGCTTGTAGCACTGCTGTTAAATTCAAACGTCAATTATTGTTTTTAACAAAATATGTTGTTATGGAATATGGTAATTTTAAAATCTATAAAATGCAATAGCAATTTCATTTAATCGCCTCAAAATAGTAAAACATTGTGGGGTGTTATTGAAATCCAAAGAATGAACAGTTCAATTTAACAATCCGCGCATGTGGAATAACTTGGTTATTTTTCTTATTGGCGAGGGGCAGGGGGGTGTCTGGGAGAATTACACGGTCCGACCCAGTTCCGCCTCGCTGGAGGTAGCACTGAATCGAAAAAAAGCCTCGAACAAGATCGTAAAGTTAGCAATTACAGTTTGGCCACTGCGAGCCGTGTCCAACATTCCGTTTTATTAAATTTAATATATGAACTGTTCACTAAATCATTTTAAGTTTCTTTCATCTACATGCAAATATACATTTTAGAGTTATTACTCTACTGTTGTTAATTATCAAAAATATGGGGTCAGATATTTCACTTAAAATGTACCTTTTTTATAATATATGGTGTTAAACGAGCAAGCGGCCACCTCAATCCGCCGAAATGGCGAAGCGACCGCTGCCCATAGATATCCGCAATTGCAGATTTGTTGCCTACTCTTATCCGATATTTCCCCTTCCTATGCATATCCTCCACTGTCAAATCCACTTCCTCTTTCCATCCTCTTCTTATAAGAAAAGGGTGGTAATGAGAAAGGGACTAAATTTAGGCCTAAACTGGGATTTAAAGATTAAATTATTTATTTTAAGTATCAGCTTAAGCTAAGCTTAAGTTATCTTTAAAGATAACTTTATAAACTAAAAATGTTGCAACTTTGTAACTAAAAACAAACATTTTATTGAGATTTTTGGTGATTAAAATGCTCGTAAAAAGTTGGTAGAAAGCTGAAAAAATACCTCGCAAAATTGAAAAAATGGGGACAAACTAAAAGTTTATTCGCTGTTGGTTTTTCCACGGAACTCCAAATTTGAAATTCGAACAATGACTGAATCTTATTTCATTCGATATGTTCCCGAAAAAGTTTTCAAGTCTATTCACAAAGGAAATTCCGAAAAACTGGACTAAACATTTTTTTCTCTACTAATATTATTACCACTGTTCCTATTATCTATCTATTTTACTATTTTATTGTATCGAATGTCTTTGTACGTAATTGCATATTCTCAGTAAATATTCCTTTACAGGTGAAATTTCATCAAGAAACGTATCAGTTACGGGTACTTTAAACGAATTTTTTTACCAACAATGTACTTGGGTACTAGATTCTAACGTTGAGAGGCAGTTATTTATTGATATCTCTTCAGAACAGGTTAGTAAAATTATAAATCAAATATATCTAGTAAATTAAAGAAGTTACAAAATAGTTAATGTAATACTAAGAATTTGTCTAAATATATCTATTTTTCTTCAAAACATTTTATAAAAATAACATATCTATAGTTTGATTTCAAGTGTTTTTAAGTTTTAAGTGATGCGGTCGAAATAAAACTTAAGTACATCTTCACCATACTCTTAGACACTTTATTAAAGCCACTAATTTGTTAGGATAAATCATGTGGATCGTGGAACATAACTCTTCACGAGTGGTCAGGTCTCGGAGTACAGAGCTCCGAGGGACTGGCGGCCACTGCGGGGGAACTACTCTACACGTTCTGTGCGAGACACAAGAACCACACGTACACGTTGCCATGGCGACTGAACACCGTTGTGATAAGGTAAGCTAATACTGAAATAATTTATATCTTGGTAAAACTTAGTACCTTTTTCCTAACTAAATAAAAATCTGTATAACATGCTAGAAATCAAAGCATAATTTAAGAGACAGAGAGTTAAGTCTATTGTACTAAAGATGCCTATACTTCTCAGTCATGTATTACTTTACGATAACATTTTCCTATTTAAAATATCTAATTATAATAGGCCCTTTTTAATAGAAAATATAAGAGATCCTACCCTCTCCAATAACAATGAATACACTCTAAACAACAATGGATTTATGAATATTCATAGAACTTTATATGTACATTGTTGAGTACGTAAAATGTTTGAATATACGATCACTTTTGCTCGTAATAAGGTTAAATTGGTTTGAAATAATTTATCATGCATGTAATTCAGAAGTATCGTTCCTAATTAATGAATCATAGAACAAACTTCATTTTACGTTAATAAATGGAAAAAAAATGTACGAGTTGAATCAGAAACAGATTAAAGAGGTTTTGAATATAAATATATAATTAATTTTCCAAACCAATGCACAGCTCGAGACGACCCTTGTAACCGGACGAATCCCAAGGTTAGCCGATGTCTTGTTTCACGACAGTTGCTACAAAGCCCAACATTATACAAATATTTTTTAAACTGTATTATTTTTCTCGACTATTGTTCTGCCTGTGTTTTTAAACATATTTAGAAATTATTAATGATTATAACTAAAAATCGATCTTAACGACTATCGACTTCGTTGTTTGATTCTGAAGTAAACAACTTAAATTTTTGGTAAATACTAACAAACATCCATCCATCCATCCATATAAACTTCCACATTTATAATATTAGTAAGAAATTAAAAACTAAAAAAGTAGTTCGTAATGTTATTGTATTGACTTCGTTCTTTGATTCTGAAGTGAAGAAATTTAATTTTTGGTATTGTTGGGTACAAAATTTTTTTTATTTGGTATTCCCAAGTAGGGTTGGCGACAGGCAGGCGGCCGGCCGCAAAATAAGTAAGCCAAAACAACGAGGTAAGGGTTTTAACCCGGCGCACCGACCCTACGGGAAGTAGGATAAGGCAGGGGTAAGCAATGTTGGGTATAAAAAAAATAGCGGTCACCGTAATTTTATACAAGTTTAATAACGGATTTATTTGTCGTTACGCAATTAGGTTAGTCGCGTTGTCAAGACAACAGCCGCTGTACGTGATCCGCTGGAGGTCGCAGGTGGTCCGCGCCAACACGCGCCTCGGCCCGCCCACACCGGCGCCCGCCGCCGCCGCTGTCGCCTCTACGAGAAGATTCTCACTGTCTTGTTTGTCTGTTTTGTTATTACTGCGAATACTACTTAAATTTATTGCTTGATTACACAACTAGTCACTTAACCTGGTTTCGCACGGTTAACAGCTCTTATTAAAATGTAGTTTGTGTAGTTTTGTTGTTTATACATTTTTAATTTTTTTTTATTACTGGTTATTATTAATGGTTTAAAGATCAATAAGTGACAATTTGTTATTAATTGTTGTTAATTAGAAAATTTACGATAGTTTTTCACGAGAATTTTTTTCACAATGAAATTTTAGATTTCGATTCATTATTTATTACTTACATAAATATGTTTTTTTAATAGATAGACAAAAAAGATTTGAAATTGGATTAGAATACTGCGTTTTGAAATGAAATAGAAAAGCATAAATTATAGCAAATGGAATGTTTATTTAAGTAAATAGTTGATTTTTTTTATATAATACATGACCGGGTGAGATTATTTACATTAGTATAATTTTTATTAGTAAAAATTATTGTGTTAAATGAAATATTTAGAGCTTTAAATAGTACATACTTTAAATGAAAATAGAACATCTTACCTGCAGGTAATTGTAAAAATCACTTACACAAAATGTATAGGGAAGTTTTGTCAATTAAAAATTGTCACCGATTGTAATGTACCATTAATTTTTGTACATAATCACATGTGTAGTTAAACCCTTAGTTATAAATGTGCGTTTTAGGAAAAGGTCTGTTCGCAATGTTCCTCACGTGAAATAGTATTCGACATCAAAATCTCATCTAGGCTTTGAAAATTAATTAAAATTTAATATTTTCTTTGTGAATAGCGGTTACAGAATGAGTGTTTCCCGTTACCCGATCTGATATATAGAATCAATTGGCCATTGGGTCGCACGATCAGTGAGCCGATCATTCAACGGGAAACACTATTCCGTCACAATTTTTATGTAACAGAATAAAGCTCGATGTATTTAAATACCTATGATGTTATTACACATTTTTTCTTAGATTACATTTATTTTTGTATGTAATAAAAGCAACCTGATGTGTAATGGCTATCTATGAACTAGTCACTTAGGATATTAGATGTAAATACGACACTAGGAAAACTCAATGGTTAGGGAGATGCCACACGACCGGATCAGCTTCGCCACGTCAGCATTGTCGTTTTACCATAAACATCTAATCAAGAGACAAACGGTGCATTAAAACAACTTACGAAGCTTAATTTTTTTAAAAACATCAAATTTATTTTACAGTTATTTTTGACACGCTGAGCGATGTAACATAAATATTTTTTTGCGGTGTTTGAATTTATCGTGTGGCACTGTATGCGACAAAATCGTGCGGCGCTGCACCGCCCGTGTGGCATCGCTCTAATAAATTAGTTAAATAGTGTAAAGAATAAGCTATTCAATAAATTTGTTATACGGAAATAAAACAGATAAATAAAAATTTGTGTACCACCTATTTGTGTTTTTATTTTTCTGTTACTGTTGTAACTACAGAAAAGTTAAAAAAAACTTTAAATAGTAAATAACACTATGCTATCGTATAAAGCAAGGAAATAATATATTCTCATAGTAATCGAAATAATAAGGTCAGCGGTTTCCAACGCACATAAATTTTACATCAACAAAAGTGTTGTTTGTATTGTACGCGGCACGCAATTACACTTCCTGACTGTAGTTAGCCCGCATGCTTCAGGCCTCCGGGCACATGGAAATATGCGGACATGATTAAAACTTGTTTGGTTTTAATTTAAAATTAAATTAATTTAATCAGTACACTTGTTTATGTCATGGGGAAACGAGGATCTTGAAGTTTCGGGAAATGAGTGGACGAGGGGATTGGGATGACGGTATTGCCATGTTAAAATTCGAATATAATACTCTATATAATGAGATAAATCTGCACTAAGATTTTCCCTTAATGTTGGCAATGAGTGTTGATTTTACATTTATTTTAAAACTAGTTTTCGCCCGCGACTCCGTTTTCGTACAATTAAAAAACAAAACAAAAGCGAGTAGCCTATGTGTTCTTCCAGACTATTCTCTTCATCTGTACCAAATTTCATCGAAATCCGATCAGCCGTATAGACTACAATCTCTAACAAACATTCATCCATCCATCCAACTTTCAAATTTATAATATTAGTATGATACATTATAAATACCGCATGAATTCATCAAAGCAACAATAAATTCTGCAAGATGTTTCTGACCTTCAGTATTTAATCCTACTGCTGCATTTCTCCTAGGTACATTCCTCCATTATATCCTACTCTTCATGGTCAACTGTAAAGGCTGAAGCATTTTTAATAAATGTCAAACGTAACAGTAACAATATTGAAGAATTTTCGACTGAAATATTGAACGAAAGTGCAATGTCACGAAACTCATTTGGGCTGTCTCCGCAGGCCATTAGTGAGCTATCGATCCGATATTGAAATATTTTTTCACTGTTTTTCAATTTTATACTACTTCGGCTTAAAGGATACAATATCTAGGTATTTATCGGTTGTTTAATTCGAAGCTAGCTCTAAAATAGTTATAAATGGTAGCAAAACCTAATTAGGTTTGATTGAAACTTTAAAGGCTAATAATATTAATACTAGCTGTCGCCCGCGACTCCGTCCGCGTGGAAAAAACAAATGTGAGTAGCCTATGTGTTCTTTCAGACTTTTCTCTACATCTATACCAAATTTCATTAAAATTCGTTCTGCTATTTAGCTACAAACTCCAACAAACATCCATCCATCCATCTAAACTTTATAATATTAGTATGAAGTATGATTTAATTTAATTATTTAGAAATTATGTATTGTTTTGTTCTAAGTTGTTAAGTTTCAAAGTCAACTAAAATGTCTAGAATTAAACCTATATGTATTTCAAAGTTAATTTATGGTAACTTATAGTCATTTAACAAAAATGAAATGAACAAACTACTTTATCCCTACATACTTGTCACGATTACCGCAAGATAATTATGTCAACCGCACTTTTCAGGTAGACAAAGGGCGTATTACAGATTGTAAAATCAATAATGCTAGGATTCTCGCCAGCGAGCGGCAAACTGTGAAATCCCTTCACGAATATAAAGAGCTCCCGTGAGAGGAATCGCTCTCGGCAAATACCGAAGCATTTGAACACGTTATCCAGATTTGTAAATTCCGTTCTTGATTATATCAATGTAACATTGATGTCGCTTAAATTGTGAAAAAATAAACATATAATTTTTTCAACATTAGTTTAAAATAAAAAAGTGCTTGTTAGAACATCACAAAGTCCTCACTATTAGACAACTTGTGTACCTTAGATTGTATGTGCATTAGATGGGAGCCACGTGCCTTTAATTATTTAAAAAAAAATAACCCTTTAACTACATAAATGTAAATTGAAAGCTTGTTTAGAGTTTCGCTAAAATTAGATCTCCAACTAACCATATCTGAATTTCAAGGTAACGGTTACGTTTTTGTAATAAATGGTTATATGTTATACTTGGACGTTCAGAAGTAACTGTAGTTGCATAAAGAACATACATGCACCATTTATAACGTTGAAATATGTCCGGCTCACATTAACTAAGTAGCATATGAAGGAACCATCCCGCATAAGATAAATTGCAGTTTTAATTAATGTCAGCAACCACAGCTTATTTAATATACATTCATTTACATAGTGTAATTGTTTAAAAGTACTTTTGTATACTCATGGTCAATCATAAATGATAAAAAAAAACAACAAAAATCGACTGACTGTCGAAATGTTCTGTTTAAAAGTGACTTAAAAAACTGTTTAAATTAAACAATTTGACTGTACAATTCAAACTATCGTCTGTACCTTTAGTAATATGATATAAATATTATAACATGTCACAAGTTCCTGCTAAGTGATTGTGATAAACAGAAAGAACAAAAATTTTTTTCAAATTTTTAAAATAGCTTAAAACATATGATTGCACAAATATAATGTATATTTATAACGCTGCACCGGACACAGAGCTTTCTACAATACAAACGTTTCTCTCGTAACCTAGATAGACAAATTGCTTGTCACCTATGAGATATATATTTAATCTGCCGTCCCCATAGTCACGTACTGTGACATTGTTTATCCTGGCTATTGTGTCTGAAGGCACGTCCCTGTTATTACTATGATTTAGAAACATTAATTAGCACTTAAAGCTTAGTTATGGGTCTTTTAAAGCTAAGATATGTGCTATTTCCGAAGTACAAATGTACGTTATTATATTAGTCAGGTGCACAGTGGGCTAAAATTTCTGCTTACATAGACATTTTTATGTAAAGTTTTTCAAATGTGCTGAACATGACTAAATGCATGTGGTAAGGCGTCACATAGGGTATATACTCGTATGTATGTATTTTATTTTATCTTCGCTTGTTTCGAAATATTAAACATATTTTGGAACAGCCTTGGAATAAATGTTACTTACAGCAAACCAATTTCTATATTCTGATGTCGTTGGTACATTAAAATCTATAGATAATTCAAAAACAAGAAATAGAAATAAAAGCCTTCTGTCAGAGCTTAAATTTACAACGTTCTAACATCCAAATTTCAATTAAATACACAAAGAATTTAATTACAACAAATTTAAAGCAACGTTGCAATTTCCTGTAACGAATGTTGCAAGTGCGCTCCGGTTTTCATCAACAAAATAATTGAATTTTAAATGAACTTTCCAACACATGTTTATGGATACATTTAGTTCATTAAATTATATTACTGGAGATAATTTGTAATTTATCATTAATACTTCGGATAAGTGAAAACGAAACGAGTAACGTCGATTTTTTCCAATTAAAAAAATTAATAAAACGATTCTAGTTAAAGTACGTCAGTGCCTTATTAAAAAGAAATTGCAAAAAAAAACAAATGAAAAATGTTTAACTAAACCGAGTTTGCAAATTACGAATTCAAAAACAATTTTATCATGCTTGGGAAAACTCATCAAAAAACAAACGTGAAATCCAGTAAAGGACTTTGTATTGTTTCGTACAAACAAACATGAGTACAGCTTCCTTTTCCTCAGTTATAAAAGGTCAGCTTCAAGTATTTTTTTAATTAAGCACTATATTTATGAATGCATTTTTAATGGTATAAAATAATATGATTTTTGTAAAAAAAAAATTACGTTACTACATTATTTTAAGATATCATATGGCGTTATTTTTGCGAAATATTT